GGGTGCTGCGGGCCCAGCTCCCAGCTCTCCCGGTTCCCCTGCAAGTCCGGAGCCCCCCCGCCCTCCGGGCCCCAGGAGGAGCGGATTTCCAAGTCAGAGGACGCACGGGGACATCTCTGAGTGTGCAGGGGCCCAGGCTGTTCGGAATCGCCACGCACCGCAAACTACGTTATATCTGTGTTTTAAGTGTGGAGAGGTAACTTCTGCCTCTTCCACGCACAGGTGGTGGCCATGAGCTGAGGGGTGAGCCCTGAGCCTCGGGACCTCAAGATGCGGCTGTGTGGACACCCGTGTTTGTTGATCGACTCTCTCACCCCCAGGATCTCAAGCTGCGGCCATGTGTTGAAGGTGGGATCTCTGAAGAGCTGGGAAGGTAAACTGAGTCCCCGGGGAGGCCCCGACCCCACAGGGCTGGGTCCCTGAGAAGAGGCCGGGAGGACGTGGACACACACAGAAGAACATGCGTGTGAGGACACAGGAGCCCGGGAGTGTGGCCTGGGGAGGAGCCGACGCCGCCCACGCCTGGGCCTCGGGCCTGCAATGCGGGGAAGGGACGGGAACATCCAAGGTTTAAGACCTTTGGTCTATGATACTGTATAACAGCACCTTCCTTCACTAAGCTTGGAAGGAGGCCCTCCTGTCTCTGCCTCCTCCAGGGGAGACCTTCCTGCCTCTGCTTCCTCTTGGGGCTCTCGGCTGCCTTGGGCTGTGGCCCCGTCACTGCAGTCTCTGCCCGTCTCCACGCAGCTTCTCCTGTGCATCTGTGTCTCCTCCTCTGCCCTACGTGAGGACGCTGCCGTGGTAGTCAGGAGGCTGAGGCGGGACGGCCTCATCTCGAATCCTCCTCCAGTTCCCTCTGCAGGGCCGTTTCTGGTCAGGGCCCATTCTTAGGCTCTGCCGAGTTACGGACCCATCTTTCGTGGCCATAGAAAGCGGCCTCCCCGGGCCGAGGTTGGGAGGCGGCACCACAGCTCCCGCAGGACGGGGCCACGCTGGCCGCTGACAGAACAGACTCGGACGGGGACCCGAGCCCCAAGGAGGGTTTGTGAGAGCCACAGACCCCAGGGGCAGAGTCCCTCTCAGGCCAAGAGCGGCCGGGTGCACGGCAAGGGACCGCAACACCCAAGGGGAGCAGGGCGGGACCGGCAGGGAGAACGTGGCACAGAGGCAGAGGCACCCGAGCCAGCTCTTCCCGAACGGTGGCGTCTTGGGCTCCGCGCCTCTGTTCAGAGCCCATTTCTGGCCCTCACAGGAATCCCCTGCTCCGGAGTGACCCTGCCGTCACCCGCAGGTCCCCCTCTTTTCCAGCGGGCTATCGGGCTCCCCAGCCCAAGGGAGGCAGGCGGCTGGCTGGCCTCTTCCTACCGAGCATCTTGGTCCCGGGCTGTTGGCTCCCAGTTACATTCTCTGCCCCCTCACACCCCGGCACAGAGAGGCCCCCAAGTCCCTGGCCGACAGCTTCAGGGTGCGGGGCAGCGGGCGGCTGGGAACTCGGGACCCACTCCACACCCGCCACACCCTCCCGGCGCCCTCATGCTGCAAAGCAGTACCTTGCGTGTCCCCGTAGCTGTTATAGCCGCCGCCTCCGGCTCCTCCTCCTCCTGCACCTCCTGCTGTGGAACAGACAAGGGGCATTCACGGGGCCACCGTGAACGGGGTCCTGTGTGTCTCTAATCGGCCCAAACTGGTGCCGAACTCGAGACCCTCCTGCCTCAGCCTCCTGACACGGCTGGAGTTATAGGCCTGCAAAACTGTGCCTTGCTTTAGTTATTCTTTATTCAGAGGTGGTGTTTTATATTTTTCCCCGGTCTCACTCTAAGATGAAGTTCTTTGTTTATCGCGCATACACCCAGCCAAAAAGCTACATGAGTGTCTGTGTGTGCACATACGTGTACTCACATGTACAAAGGCAGGGAGGTGCAAACGCACAGCTACATGAGGACATGGAACACACACACATGCACACGTACAAACCAATATGCCTAGCAAAGGTGCGGTACGTGTTTCCCTACGCGAATGCATACAAGAGACACGCATGTGTGCGCAGGAAACACATCCGAACATAAGAAAAGGTCTCTACAGGCCAATAGCAGCCACGCACACGTGAAGCCGTTTATCGGCCCACAGGAGGAGGCCGGTGCCTGGGACTGCAGCACCGCGGAGGCTGAGGCAGGAGGATCGCTGTGAGTTCAGGGCCAGCCTGGGCTTCATCGTGGGTTCAAGGCCAGTCAGAGCTACACAGAGCGGCCCTGGCGCCCAAGGTGAATAAAGCCATTTAGAGACCGCATAAAGACACACGTACACGGGGAGGAAAGCGTACGTGCAGGTACAGCACAAACGTGAGTGTTTGGAGGACGAGAGGCGTGTGTGTGCACTGCACGTACGTGAGGGTGGCTGTGCCCGCGTGTAATGTGCACGCACGGGCCTTCCTCGGCCCGGGCACTGGCACGTGAGTCCACACCCACCTGCACGAACGTTCATAAAAAGCCGTGCGTAACTGTAGAGGGGACACAACGAGCACATACCACGTGGGGTGCACGTTTACATACGTGTGCGCGTGTACGAAAGGAGTGTGGGTATCAAGATGGGGTTGTGAGCGTGCGCCTTACAGGGGCCTTGTGACGAGATCTACACGCGGGCGTGCAGGATGCACCTGCGCAGGTGTGATGAGCAAGAGGCCCGCAGAAAGGTGCAAGTGTCCGTGTGTGTGTCAGACACGTGTGCACGCCTGCAGTGCTACAAATAAACCTGTGGTGTGTGTGCACACGTACTTATGACGCCTGCATGTGTATAGCTAAAAGTGTAAGTGTGTTTCCCAAAACATGCACATGTACGAAACTTACACATATTGGGCTGGGGATTTAGCTCAGTGGTTCTGCCCCCTGCTTCGCAAGTGCAAGGTCCCGAGTTGCAACCCCGGTACCAAAACTAAAAAATTAAATTTAAAAAATAATAGGAATTAAGCCTATAAATGCCTACGTGTGTATATACACAAAGCTTGTGTGTGCCTATCTAAAAGCGCGTGAATATAAATTTCTTTTACAAAAAGTACATACATATAAAACTTATACGTGCAAATGCATAAAGGCATAAATCTATGCTTGTGTACATACACGAGGCATGCAGAGACCTATACACAGATATAGAAAAGCGTGTGTGTCTTTAATCAACTATATGTGCACAAAACACTGTACCTATAAATAAACAACAGCGTATATCTAGGCAGGTGTCTGTACAGAAAAGGCTTCCGCACACCTGTATAAAGATTTCTAAATGGGCCGGGCTTGGTGGTGCACACCTGTGATCCCAGCACTCGGGAGGCTGAGGCAGGAGGATCGCTGTGAGTTCGAGACCAGCCTGGGCTACACAGTGAGTTCCAGGTCAGTCTCAACTACCTAGTGAGACCCTGTCTCAAAAAACAAACAAAAAACCCAAAGATTTCTACATGGGCAGGTGAAGGTGTGCGTGCGTACGCTTGCTTGTGTGCACGCAACAGGACTGCGTACACAGACGCGGTGACATAGGAACGCGCGTGTTATAAAATCATGTCTACACAAAAACATACAAATGAACACGGAAAGCTAAACTTTCCCGTGTGTGTGTGCTCGTGTAAGGCACGTACCCTGGTCGTGTACGCACGCACTCCTTTTATACACAAATCTAGGCGTAAGAACGCAGGGTCACACGTGCGCGGCTGTACACAGCCGGCCAAAGGCTCGCGCGCGGCGCAGGAAAACACCAGCTCGCAGCACCGCGCGGGTCCCACGGTTCC